AAGATCTATCCAAATGTAGGTTCTCAAGATACCAACGGATTTATCAAAGAAATAGATAATGAAGCTATTAAAATAATGTTGCCATCAATAATCATGACGTCACCGATTTCGTACGTAAGAAAAAATACTATAAAAGATGAATGTAGTCTTTGCATTGTAAGCCTAAGTCTATGAGGCGTATGGCTGTGGAGAAATCCAGTTAAACGTCGCACCTCCTTTATTTCGCGCACGGCCACATTGCTTGCAGACGACTTCCGGTGTTTTTCTATTGCTTTTATCATTCCTGTTAAAACGTGAAATGAGTTGAGTATTCCGTCAATCGTTTTCAAAATTCCAATAAAACTCGAGGTTGATTTTGGAACCCATGAAAATAAAGCGAACAATTTCCGACAAAATAAATACGAGATAAAAGTCTCGTATGCTGATAAACTTGGTAAAATATTTGTGGTCGTAATCCCCCTTGACGTCTTGAATAAAAACGAGAATTGTTTTTACATATTGTCTGGTACGTGAGTCGATGTTTCAATACACATCAAGCAGACTGTAAATTATTGAATAAACAGAGCAGAAGTAATAAACCAATGTTTTTGAAATTTAACGTTCCTAAAACAACTAATCGAAAGTTTCAAGACAAAAGACGAATGTTGGAATTTGAAAAGATAAAACTAAGAAAAGGTGCCGTTTGAGCTGCTTTCCTCATCAAAGTTTAAAGCCATATTTGTCAAAATACTTTGATGAAACCATAGCCGAAGGAAAGTCTGCAGACAGCGGCGTATTTCGTCATTATAAAAAACAAAATAGCCCCCCTCCCCTAAGTTTTGGGTTGACCACGCTCTTGGATGAAACGTTAGAGATGTGTAAAAGTCAAAAATATTTGTTTTTCACGCTTTTTAAAACAGTCGATACTGATACAATTACCGACATCGAAAAATATGAGATAAATATCTCAAGCTGATAAACTTGGTAAAATATTTGTGGTCGGATTCCCCCTTCGACAGTTTGAAAATCGAAGTCGATGATATTCAATAGACATCAAGCAGGCCGTGAATTGAATAAACAGAGCAGAAATATTAACAAATAAAATTTTCTTCAAATTCCTAAAACAACAAATCGAAAGGCACCTACCTGTACGTATTATTACAATATCGGTACAATTGAATTGTTACGAATAGCACGTGCTTGAGCTGTGATAATGGCGTAACAATTGGCGGGGTCTAGAACGTAAAAAGGTATAAACATAGAGTGTTAAACTATTTCACTTGAATTCGACGGGTCTCAAAAAGTTACGCTATTTGGGAACCACTGATATAGATAGATTAACCATTGTAGAAAGTCTATATCGAGGGCTTTAAACCAAGAGGGAGAATGTTTAAATTTTTGAAATTAAAGTTTTAGGCTATATTTACCAAATTATTTTAATGAAAGGTTGAGATGTTTAAAATAAAAAATATTGTTTCATCATTTTTTCAAACTAGTTCGTCCTTTGGTCGAAGCGATCGTTCCATACAGTATTCGATTAACTCCCGTAGTGTGTGTACCGGGTTAGGGTCAGGCCATAAGTTTGTAACTTGCATTATTTCAGTTCTATTACGAGTTCGGGGACTGTCTGTGTTAGCCAAGTGAATATACTCCCTACCAGGGGCGCAGCCAGGATTTTTTAAAAAATAAAACGGTTAACGGACGGTTAAATAAAAACGCGTTTATAGGTCTTTAAAAAGATGTTCCGGTGGTGGAAAACAACATGTGCTACGCTGTGTCTCATTAGCCTTTCTTTGCATGTCCTACTTTCAGCAATCGCTGACCATTCTCTTTAGTCAAGAATAATCAACTTTTCATTTCAATGCGCCGTTAACTATATTACTGAAAGTGAATTCGTCGCGAATTTAAATTCCTGTGATATTTGCACATAACGCTTCTCTACTTTTAGCGGCGATTTATCAACATATTATTACCAGTTTGTTAATATTACATGCTATTATTTTAGGCAACAGGGTTAAATTGGTTTATCGTTGTTTTAAGCAAGAAAATAAGCATTTGTTTTTTTCGCTTATTCAGCAATCGTAATTAAAATATTTACCTACGCGAAAGTCTTCACTCCGCGGGGTGTCCTTGCGTTTTAGAGTTTCAGAGTGATGCCGAAAATGCCAATGATAGAGAAACACCGACACATGGGGCTCTTTGTCGCAGATTCTGCCCCCTTTGACAGGCGTCAATTCGTTTATTTTGTTTTGGCATGTCCCATTTCAACCTTTAAGTAATCGCCGATTATTACCCCATTGTCAACAGTTAAATAAAATGCCACACATGATTTCAATTGAAATAACGCAAAAAATGTAAAATAAGAATAGAATGAAATATTAGCGATCATGAAACATTAAGAAATAGCATAAATTAATGATATTTGCCAAATGTAAATGGTTCATAAACTATTTTTGAGTGCGTCACGAAATATCAATCCATTTCCAAAATAAATATATTTGATGTTCCCGTATTTATAACTCCATAAAACGATTACAATCATTTAAAAACAAGATCATGTATCGTACTGATTGAGAACGTCTTTCAATGTAAAACTCTTGCTTGTTGCAATTAACTGTTAATACATTCCAATTTTTATTGCAATGCGTCGAGTCTAAACCTATATTACTGAAAGTGAAATCGTCGCGAATTTGAAATCCCGCGCCCGTGATAGCTGCATTCTGCGCATAGCGCTTCTTCACATTCAGCGATAATTTATTAATATATTGTTACCAGTTTATAAAAAAGAACTGAAAGACAACGCATGTAACTGCTTTTCGCAGACAGACGATTCCAAACGGGTCTTGGACGAGTTTGCTACCCAAAAATCTCGAAGATTGAACATTATTCTGTAACATTTTTTTTCCCGAAGATTGAACATTATTTTGCGATACTTTTTACTCGAAGATTGAACATTATTCTGTAATATTTTTTTCTCGAAGATTGAACATTATTTTGCGATACTTTTTACTCGAAGATTGAACATTATTTTGCAATGCTTTGTTTTCGAAGATTGAATATTATTTTATGACACTTTTTTTTCGATGCTGCCACATTTGGCAATCCTTTGTTAATGAACCATACATTTCCAATAATTCATTTTGTCTGTTATTTGCCTATGAACCTGGTACCATCGCTTGTTAAAGATGCACTACATAACTAAAATTCGTAATTAGTGATAACCAACGATAACGTATGTGATTAAAAGTATGGATGCGTTGAATGTGGCGAGGCGAGAGCGCGCTTGTGAAATCGTTGAATGTGGCGAAGCGAGAGCGCGCTTGTGGAATAGTTTTGACGGCAATAGTGTGATACGTCCGTTGCTATTTGTGTCAAGTGAAAGGTAGTACAATTGTATTTAAAAATGTTTAGTGAAGATTGTGACTTCCGTGACCCCCCGCTGGCAGCTAGCTCCACTGCCGCGTAACAGCGATAACGAATCGCAAACATGATTAATAAGTCGGACGCTGCGCGAAAGTGATAACGCAAAGAATAAAATTATTGTAAGCAAACGTAACACTATTAAAAAAAAAACGATTCCAAAGGTGGGGTTACAACCCATGTAACCCCTGACTCCCCCCTGACTGCGCCCATGCTCCCCACCCATAGACTTCTGTCCCTTTACACAACTTGATGTAAAGTAGGCGAACAAAACCTCCATACTGTAATCACAAATACAACAATCAAAAGAAGCGGACGATCTAAATCAGCAAAGTTATCCAAGCAGAAAATCGCCTTTATACGCTGAGAAGTATAACATCACAATCGTTGAATTTTTGAGACTTTTTATTCACCTCTTTCTTGGTTGGCTCTCACTATCTTAAATTTAATTTATATTTTTTAACTTGGATTTTTGCAGCATGATAATATGATCTAGGTATTATTTTTAACGTTTGTTTATTGTCATCTGCTTATCAACTAAGCAAACAAGGTGTCGTCGACATGTGCACGACGAAATAAATACCTGAATCAGTTCGACTCAGTAATAAAATGTGACATTGCGCATCACGGGCGGGCGCTACATCGAGAGTTTTTATTTGGCGCTTGTAATTTCACATGACGAGCTAACAATGGCTTATTTTTAGTTTTTTTTTTGCCAGTTCCGATCGTGTATGAGTGTATATATTCAGTTCATCGTTTCTTATAGTTGAGATAGTTCGTAGTTATACAGAGTGAAAAATTGCGATTTTCATTCCGATTTTCCCTATTTTAGTTCTGTTAAAGACTGTCTTATACAAGTACGGGGCGATGTTAAAATTAGGATATTCCGCGTTTATCAAAATTGTTTATTTGATTGTATGATCTTGATTATTGTGCCTTCATGTGTCGGTCTCTGCGAAAAGCATTATTATTTTGCATTCTATGGCCATGAGCGGGCTTTGTAACATCCATACCGCCGACATATGTATCATGTTTGGTTAGCACTTGGGTTGAATATTTTGATTAACCGCTGACCATGCAGTTTTAAAGTATGCTCAGATAACTCAGGTTAAGACTGCTTACTTCGCTTAATATAAATTTTCTTTTGAAACGTCGCTATTTCGAAAAATGAGAAAAAGAAAGATTTGATTTGAACTAGCAAGATTGAAGATGAGAAATTTGAAGTGGTTTAGGTTTTTCTTCAAACTAAGACAAAAAAATATTTCTGTAAAATTATGTCTCGTCCAAATCAGACTTCCTTTTATATATATGATTAGGCAGAAGTGAAGCTACAGAAATATAATTGTAATTTGAGTAGCAAGACGTTTGAATTGAGAAAATTATTAGTGTTTCAATAGCAGTACGATACTAATTTTGTTAGTTAGTGCACCGTTGCCCAGCCGGATAGAAATTCTCTTCGTTTTTGAAGAGGAATTTTGCTTTGTATTTCCTGTAGAGTTAATAATATTCTTTAGTTTATTATAAATACTATAATAATATTTGTTTATGCACACATTATTAAATACTTGAATTCTAATACTGATAATGTTTTTGAAATTAAGTTAAGAAATATCAACTAATTAAGGTGATGGTTAGAACTTAATTTTACATATTAGGAATAACTATGAAATCACTGAGCATCAAAGCTTTGGCCTGTTTACTCGTTTTTTTAATGGTTGGAAATATACTTCTGCAGTTGAAGCCCAAAGTTCATTACGTCACTCATGATGACGTCATCACCGATTCAAAAAAGTTGGAAAAACTAACAAATGTTATAAAAGCACTTAGGACATATCCAAATATAGATGCGCAACATAGAAATGGATTTATTAAAGAAAAAGGTAATGACGGTATTGGAATTGATGGCGTCATTGAACATGATGACGCCATAGATATTGTACCCAAGAAAAATATTGTAAGCGATGAATGCAGGATTATTTTAAACGGAGATCTAAATGGAATTAAAAAGATGAGGGAAAATAATTCGACCACCTTTCCTTGGAGTGACGTCACCAGTGATGACGAAATAATACAGAGAGCAGCCGATTGCACCGAGTTGAAGAAAATGTGAGTGCAAATATGTTTTGTATATTTCGGAATTGAATATTACCGGGACAACACTGGATAAACATAATATTCGAAAATTTGTAGGAAAACCAAATTAAAAATTATTTTTAAAGTTCCACTTATTTCTTAAATCAGTGAATTGGAAAAAGCCAAAAAAGGCTGCTGTGATTGTTCGAGGTTTAATCCTTTTAGCAGATGATATATGTTTGAAAAAGGTTCAGTATTAGAGCGACCATTGCTGTATAACAATTACTTGAAATATACAAATTCGAAACACGTGACTAACTAACTAGAAAATATGAATACATAAAAAAGCAAAATGGGGCTCATATATACCGTCAGAAATTTCATCACAAAGCCCACGAACCCCCAGTTCTTGATGGGCGCGTCTAGAGTGTAACAAATTGGCTAGGCAGTGCTAAGTATAATAGTTTCTCATATATCGTTGGATATAAGTAGTCGCTTTTACAGAGCCTTCCCAGAGAAAGAATTTAGAAATTTAAAATGCTGAAAATAAATGAAATTATTATTACTAGAGTATTATTACTCGAAACAAATATTATTCCAAAGTTTGTAGCAGTGGTTCCAAAAGTTGATTGACCGAGGGCTACAATTAGATTCTAAAGGATATTCGCAGTCCAGGAGAGGTTACCCCCCGCAAGGGGTCGATACCGGTACCGGTTTGTTTCAAGTTACTTGGGTTCTATTTTCTGCTGAACCACCTTTTAGATAGATCTCACGCGATAGTTGTATAAAACGCCTTATATCGATTATTTTATTTGTATAATCTTGCGCATAAATACCAGTGTACATATTTTAGCGGAATTTTTAATAACCAGTATTCATGATAAATTGGATTATTTATTAAAATGTTCGATATCTTTCATCAATACAGCCTTGCCGTAGCCTCAATATGAGACTATAGTCATGCACGGAGTTTTAAAATAACTCTTGTCGACAGTCAATGTGGAAACAGAGCATCGTGTCGTTACAATAATTGTGACATATAGGATGACCATGATGTCTTAAAAAATTTTAAAATTGTAAAATAAATTTATCGATGCCATATATTGTTTTGGCTCTCACCGATGTAATAAATGAAGTAAAAATACTTAAACAATTACTGATTAAAAAACAAACCTAGTTAAAATATATTGCGAACAGACTTCACAACAAAATTGAAATTGTAAAGGGACTATATGGACACCCTGTATATCTACATTTCTAACTAATCAAGTTCGAGGTCGCTGTTAGAAGCGGAATAAAAAATAAATCTCAGAAATATTCACCTATTTTTGCTTCGAGGACAGATTTCAAATTCTATGTTCACCACTTCACTCACGCAAGATGGAATAAATTGGGAAGGCAATGCCGAATCAAAAAGATTCCGGTTTTTCTAAATACTTGTGTAGAGTTTTGCTCAAAGCTTCTAACTCGTAAAAAAAGTAATAAATTTAGAAAATCAGAACAGAAATTGCAAGTTTCAGTGAATTTGGCAAATTGAAATATTGTTTGAAACATTTTTTTTAAAAATATAAATACTTAATTTCGATGTCTTGCTATAGTAGTAAAATTTTTTTTAAACTTTATCCGTTCGTGTTTCGATATTGAATAGAGGGTTATAATAAGTGGAGGTGAATTTTAAACAAACTCGTAAAATAGTGTTCAGAGTAAGTAAACGGTGGGTTATTTGGTTGACAAATGATATTCAGAGTTACTATTATTGGAAGGACCGGATCCCATCACTCCCCAAGAACTTGAACCTATTCGCACGAACTCGCTCTTGCAATGTCGTGATATCTAGTGACCGAAGAAAACGGGCAACATGACCCGCAGCTGGCGAATGACGAATGGCATAATATTTAGCGTTTCAGAAGTGTATCAGATTTATTTAAAAGCGTGTCGTATTTACTGTAGCTTCCGTAATGACATACTTACATTCTCTGAAATGAGAGGACCCGTGTTTAGTGAATTCGATACAAAAGAAAACCCGTCTTTGGAAATCCCAGTATATGCCATTTACGGCCCCGATTAGATAAAAACAATCATTTATGTCTATTGGAATATAATTAAATATAAAGTACTTGTTCGATTCGTCAAAGAAATTGATAATAATTTTAATTTCAAAGAGTGTATTCAATAATTAATTCGGAAATTAATTCTTTTTCGAAAAAAAAAAAATTCGAGAAACTGTTTCATTTTCGGGGAAACACGGAAAGCGGATGTATGCACTCGGAATCGTGAGATTATTTTTACCCTTGTTTTAATATTTATATTTCGAATCAAGAGTCTGAAAAAGTGCAATGGATATAGTACTTTGTGTAAAATTGATGTTCTCTTTGCGGCCCCCAAAACTCGTTTCGCAGCCCTGTGGGGCCGCGGCCCCTAGTTTGGGAAGCCCAGCCCTAGTACACGCCATAATGTTAAATGAATTGTGCTAAATTCATGTACCGAATGACATATTATTACGTGTCGATCGGCCACGTTAGACTAACCACTTTCAACCTAGGAGTATCCAAAACACCCAACGGAATTTTTTTTTCGAAGCGAAAACAGAGAAATATTACATTGTATTTGTTGTGGTTTACTTATATTGCTTAGTCATTTATACTATTGTAATATGGGTACGTCCCAATTTCCCTATTTTAGTTCTGTTACGAGTTTTGGGACTCTCTGTGTTAGCCAAGTGTATATACCCCTACCCATAGGTTCTAGTCCCTTAATATATACAAATTGATGTAAAGTAGGCGAACAAAATTAGCTACCTCCATATTGGTACACATACTTCTGGAGCGCCGTAATATGTATATTTGTGGATACATTATATATTATACGAAGTGCACAAAAGCCGATGTGCAAGTTTACTATCTAAGGAACCAATATTCAGCATAATGGAAACAATATTTATGCATAGTTGGAGAATAATGAAGAGATTTAGAATAAGCAAATGCAAGAATAGATAGACTTCGACTTTCCCCATCTAACCAAGTATACTAAAAATTTGGCACTTCGGAAGTGCGTGTACTGATAGGGAGGTAACTAATTTTGTTCAAGTATTTTACATCAAGTTAAGTAAAAGGACTGAAACTTATGGGCAGGAGGTATATTCACTTGGCTAACACAGAACGTCCCCGAACTCGTAATAGAACTAAAATGAAGAAAATCGGAATAAAATTACGGCCTAACCTTAACTTGGTACATATATTACGCGAGTACCGAATATTTTTTTAAATTGTTAAGTTGGTCAAAGGAATGTGGAATAAAGCGATTTTCTCACATCAATAATAATTTAACAAAACGATACATCGGTCCAGTTAGACATTAATGTCAAAAAGCGGCAAAAATTATAAACAAATATAAGCAGAGAAACAAAATGGACGATTCGAGTATTTGCCATCACGTTAATAACAGTCTAGGACAGTGGTTCCCAACCGCCGGTCCGCGAAGCTTTTTCGCCGGTCCGCGAGAAATTTCGTTGTTTTTATTCCGTCTCAATCGCTTTACCGAAGACGAAGTTGCGTTGGTTTATTACGCAATTTCTTTTCCATCGTTATATTGCGACGTAATTCGCGACATCTTGGCGCCGAGTAATCACACTTTTCCCTTTTTTGGCCTCGATTCATCGCGAATGCGCTCCGATCGCTTTACCGAAGATGAGATTGCGTTGGTTTATTACGCAATTTCTCTCCCGCCGTCATATTGCGACATCTTGGCGCCGAGTAATCACAATGTTTGCTTTTTCTGGTCCGATTCATCGCGAATCGCATCAAATATGGCAAAATTCAAAAGCTAAAAATTGGCACGCGTTCTTTTTCTGTTCTGCGTCATATTCCTGATTATTATGACCATTTATATAAAACGTTATGCATATTTCCTTTGTTCAAACCAGAAAACAGTCAAGAGCAGTATAATATTCCAGTAAGATATGAACTTGTTGCGACACTGCAGGTGGTCACGAGACGCGCAAAAAAATGGGCGGCAGAGATCTTTTCCAATATTTTGAGCAGACATAGTAGGATTTTGATCCTGGTGCCAACTTGCCAGTCAAAAAAAAATAACTTAATTAAAATTGTGATGCAACTTTACAGTCCAGATTTAAGAAAGAATCACTGTCACAATTTTGGATATCTCTTGATGGCGAATACCCATCGCTAAGTAAGCAATCAAACTGTTGTCCGTATTTTCAATCAGTTACTGCGTTATGCGAAAAAACATTTTCATCACTAGCTTTAATTAAAACGAAGCAACAAAATTGGCTACTCGCCTCTGCAGAGCTACGTGTTGCAGAAACTTCTTTGAGGCCTCGTTTGCAATCCAATATTGGAAACGAAACAGCAGCAAAATTCTCACTCACTAGAGTTAATTGTGTTTATACAATATTTGGCATGTACATGTTTTTTATGTGAAATGTTTTATGCGTACCTTTCTCACGCATAATGGGTGCCCAGTACCAGTGACATAGCATCCACCCCCGCAGTGGCGGGAGGGCCCACAGCGCCGAGGGGCCCAAGCGGTTAGAATTTAGAAATGTAAGCCGCAAAACCAAAAGTTACATTGCAAAACCAGTAATGCACATCTAATGTTGATGTTAGTTCTGCTCAAATCGTTTTGTTAAGTAACAATGTCAGGGAGTCGTCGATTTTCGGCGTCTTGTGGTTTGATCGCACCGGCAAAATTGCAAAGGCTGTCACAATGATGTCGAAAGCAAAACCTCTCAGTGGCGCACAGAAACGCGGAAAAAGGGCAGAAGAGTACGCACGTATGAAAAAAATATAAAGTAACCAAGATAAACGGCAAATTTTTTGTTACCATTGCCTTTTAATAGCGACATGTTATGCTTTTTGACGAAATAAAAAAAGCGTTGTTTTAACTTTTGTCCGAGAGTTATTAGGGTCATTTCCTCGAAATATTTTTGCGGGGTCACGAGAGTCTTGCTACGCCACTGCCCAGTACTGCATTTTTATTACGAAAGAGATGGTATTAAATTATGTTTTACCCAT